GTGCTAGGTCCACTACCCTAACATTGAGTCATGGTTCAGCAAGAACCCACAACCCACAACCCAGTCCTCTTCACTTTTTTTATCTTCTCTCTCTCTCTCTCTCTCGGTTTCTGTCACCCATTTTTGCTTTTCATTATATGAGCTTACTCATTCAAAATAATTCTCTCTTCGTTTTTTTTTTTCGCTAAAAGTAAGGTACACACACACACACACAAAAAAAAAAACAGAGTGTGCGATGGATAAATTGTCGTCTAAATTACGCAAAAATGAAAATAACACCGGCATCTCATTTTAACAGATATATTAACCAAAATGACACAAAAACATCTTCAAAAACTAAAGAGTAAATTTATTCAATAAAGTCGCTATTGGCTTCAACTTCGGACTTCCAGACAACTTCGGAATCAAATCTTCTGGACGGTCTCCTTGTTGGTGAATGCTGCCATAATCCTTGCGTTCAGTTCATCTTTGGTGTTACAAGGAGTTTTGTTGGTCTCTCGCTCAACTGTGCCTCACGCATAATTGTCATGTGTCCTTACCTATAACTACAGAATGAACTCTTCCTAACACTATGTATACTACGCCTCTCAAGAGAGAGGGTCGTATCGAGTCGAGCCGATAGTAGTTCACTCCAAACCAGACTGACAGTCATACTAACACCTTCCACATCTTGTATTATTATTTGTGTTATATACCCTCATTATTTCTACTCTTTGTGTTTGTGTTGTTCTTCCTTGGTCCTAACCTGGACCATAACAATAATAATCAAGGGGGTTGCCCATATGGGGAGTTAGGTGGCCAGATGTATGGGGTGTTGTGATCGCAGAAATTGTGTTGTAGAGTAGTTTTCACAGTGGAGGCTTGTATTTCACTAAGTCGGTTCTAAAAGGGTCCGACGTACAAAACGTTAGGAACTTGCAATAATAATTAATGACGCAGCAATTTAGTTGAGGTGGTTGATACGTCAATGTCCGACATCCACTGACTCACTCAACTCCACTGAGCTCAACTGGCGACCGCTACTACTACGACTACTTATTATGTGTGGGAGAGTCTATTACAATAGAATAGGTACGTTCAGGTATAACAAATTGTCTGACAGCCATGACTGTGTTCTCATGCTTGCATAGCATGGTGTAGAGCCCTTTTGCCAGACATAGGGTCTTCCAGCGGTTACTCTCTTGACTCAGGGCAGTACTATCTCCTCAAGGCACTTGATGTAGACCCTCGTGTTGAGTCTGATGTTCTTACCAACTAATTTGGGGGTTCTTTTCTTGTCAAAACTCACTCTGATCGATTTGACAAGAAATATAATCTCCATTAGATTCATCCAACTCTTTCTGAATCTTCTACACTGTCTTTAGACTAACACCCAACATGCCGTTTTCAAATTTCTTGCAGATTGAATTGCATCATGGTGCTCTTTTTCCTCATAGACGATGCTCAACTGACCTTACTATACTGTACAGTAGTTACAGGAGATTCCGAAGTCGTCTGGAGGCCGTGTTTAAAGCCAATGGCGATTTTATTGAATAAATTTAGTCTTTAGTATTTCAAGATATTTTTGTTTAATTTTGGTAAATATAGCTGTTAAAATGATATGTCAGAGTTGTTTTATTTTTGCGTAATTTAGACGACAATTTATATATCGCACCCTCTGTGTGGATGTTAGTGTGTGTGATCTTTTTCTATATTTATAGGGAAAGAGTTCACAGAAGTTGGTGATCGCACGGGAATTAGTCTTTCAACGTGGTGTGACCGTAAGCCCATCGTCTTGGGACTCTGTCCCACAAAGTAGCTGTTATATTCCCGAAGGACAGCTCTGCATTTAAAACTGGCTGGATATTTGGCACCTCCAACCCGTAAAACTTAATTACTCGTAGGTAAACCATCACCATAAGATTGTAGACTAGATTGTTTAGCTAGATATCATCATGGAATTGTATGTAACTTCCAGTGTGAGTTCAAATCTCATTGGAGATTACCGTAATTTCTTGAAAATAATACGCACCCATAAATAATACGCACACCAACAAATGATCCAAAAATTAAGAAATATATCTATCCCTACGTATAATACGCATCTATAAATTTTGTCCAAAAAAAAAATTACGAAGACATTTTGTCGACCTTGACATTAAGAATAAAATCAAAATTAAGCGGCTAAAATAATATTTAATGCTGGTGGCAACAGGAAAAACCAGAGTTGGAACTTATTGTAAAATGGATTCAGAAATCTTGGAATTCCATCAGTGAGGATGTTATAAAGAAAGGTTTCAAGAAATGTTGTCTCACGACAGCCATGGATGGCTCTGAAGATGATATCCTTTGACAAGAGAATGAAGCGGCCGAATATAATTTTGAACAGGACGAAGATAATATTGTGAATGATAATTTGTTTAATGACAAATTAGATATTGATTCTATAATAGAAAGGGGTGATGTCGATGATGAAAATAAAAATTTCAATAAATTCTTAATTTGATATCCTCTTTTCTTCGAAATTGGACTTTTTATAGATTTTTTTTTTAATTTTTCGCCAAATAAAAATGCCGAATGCAGATAACCAGAAATTTAGTGATAAAAAAATGTTACAATTATTATTGTTGGATTTAAAAAGAAAATTGGGATAATATCTTTCTTATTTTAGAACAACAATTACCTATTTATAATTATAAATCAATAACGAAAAAAATATTTTTGTTTAAACCTATTTATAATACGCACCCCTACTATCACCTGTAATTTACAGTAAAAAATGCGTATTACTTTCGAGAAATTACGGTATAACGTAATTTCTAATTTACACTGTTCATTACAAACTGTCAGATATTTATGGAGAAAATAATTAATTTAAGAAACCCAACAACTTTAAATGTCTGTCACTTCGAGAAGGTCAATTAACAATATAATGTGATGAATACAATAGCCATAAGACTAGAGATTTGACTGTTAAGTCACTTAGTATTGCACGTCCTGGGTATGACGATAAACTACATCCGACAGCAAAATCGGGAGATTGAAAATTTTGAAGAGTATGGAAGCACCTCTTGACTCCTGTTGTTCGCAGATACACCCAGACTCAGTGTGGTAGCACCTGTTAGGGTCCTAGCTATAAGCAAATAGTAAATCCCCAAACAATACATTTATATAGCAAAATGACAAACAAGGCAACACTAAAAAAGTAAAAAATATATTTTATAGTAAAATTACCAGCAATACATTTTTTTTTAAATTACCAATAATACATTTTATGATGTACAAACTAGAAATCTAAAAAATATACCTTTACTTTGAAAGAATAAAATTATTTACAAAAATATCTGTAGCTAAAAGCATAAAATTGTGGTAGCACCTGTTAGGGTCCTAGCTATAAGCAAATAGTAAATCCCCAAACAATACATTTATATAGCAAAATGACAAACAAGGCAACACTAAAAAAGTAAAAAATATATTTTATAGTAAAATTACCAGCAATACATATTTTTTATAAAATACATTTTATGATGTACAAACTAGAAATCTAAAAAACATACCTTTACTTTGAAAGAATAAAATTATTTACAAAAATATCTGTAGCTAAAAGCATAAAATTACTTACAAAATATTTAGATTTCGCCTTTAAATAACCTATTGAGGTTGATGTTTGTTTAATTACATGCCAACTTCTTAAGAGTCAAGTAATGCCTAAATGTAATTTTCTTGGGAGCATTAATAATTTCTTTCACAAAAATTTATTTCTACTAATATTTTTTTCCTTACAGTAATATATTGCTGGAAATTTTTATTTTATACAAAACTGTATTGCTGGAAATTTTTTTTCTTTTTACTATGAAAATGTATTGCTGGTATTTTTACTGTAACATTTTTTATACTTTCATCGTGTTTTAACCCCAGTTTGGGATCAACTATTTGCCCATAGCTGGGACCCTAACATGTGCTGCCACCTTGGGTCAGGGTAGACCTGAGTACAACAGCAATTAAGAGGTGATTCCATGTTTCTCAAGACCTCCTGATCAGAGGCCTTGTTGCCGGGTGGAGTTTATCGTCATACCCACGACAAGAGGCAGATATTCTGTTAAAGAAAATCAACGAAGTAACTTAGTATTGCAGCCGATTGAGTGAAAAAATAACAGAATTCATGTCATGACAAGCTTCCAGAATAAGATCCAAGTTCAAATCTTTGTCCTCAGATACGTTTTTGTGATGCCAACGAATACTCGTTGTCACTTTCGTAATGCTCGTTGTAGTAGAGACTTTGTAATCGCAGCGACAACTATAGTGACGCCGTTGAACAACATTGGTGTCAGACGCCTTCGAATAACACTCGCACTAATAGTAGTTGCTCGATAATACACGCTCGAAAAGTATTCCGTATAGTGATCCAAATAGAGGAATAGTATAGTGAATAGTGTAGAGAATAGCGGTCCGTATAGTAATAGAGGATAGACTAAAAATAATGATCCGAATAGTAATAGAGGACAGAATAAAAATGAAGATCATTTAGACGTCACGTGACTTCCTATATATGCGTTTCCTCTATGGCCGCGTAATCCAAATAATCAAGCAATGAGATCGCCTGTGTTTACTCACTGGCTATCTATGTTCAAACTCAAGTGTCGACACCGACACCTTATTCCTATATAACATACGTGTTTTCCCTATTTAATGATCTTCTTCTATGTGCCGTGTCTCTGTATGGCATGGGCAATAATGACTCTCCACAACTTTCTATTTTTGTAGCTCTTTGTAGGGTTTGTCTTTTCATTATCTCTCGCCATCAATGCAAGAAACCAGTGGAGAGTTTTAGAAGCAAGAAGAGTGAAGAGAAGAAACTATCAACAGAGAATATACCATTACATCTGGCAATTTCAACTGTAAAACGAGACCTAGCTGCCAATCTAGTACTGCACTTAAATTTATAAAGTCGAGATACTAAAGAGGAAATCTCATCAGAACTTTTACCCTGAAAATATATGTAGGAATGACACAGCAAAGCT